AAATAAACGTGATTGCTCTCCTCACAAATCTTCCTGTCTCCCGTGGTGTTTGTAGTCAGTTTGTAGTCCGTTTGTTCATTGGTTCCCCTTGATTAGTCTCCCCAGGTGTGTCTTGTTATCTTGTTAAGCTTGTTAGCCCCCTGTGTGTATACTGTTATTAGCCCTAGTTTTTCTTTAGTTCCTTGTGAGTTGTTGAATGTAATGGTTGTCTGTTTGCCAGTCATTCTGTTCTTTGTTCCCTTTGGTTTTTGTTTTTTGGCTTATTGTTTGTTCTAGTTTTTCCATGAAATACCAGATAGATCCTTACCTCTTCCTGTTTTCCGCAGCTTCTCCACAATGTTACAGTATTTGACTGGCATGTCTCTTTGACTAGTGCATCTTTGAGCCTATATTTAGTATAAGTAAAATACTTAAGTACTGTTAAAATCAGATACTCTAAGACTTTTACTCAAGTTGTTTTGGAATTGGTGACTTGTAACGTGTAGTGGAGTAATTTTCACTGTAAGGTATCAGTACTTTTACTCAAGTATGGTTTTTAGGTACTCCTTACACCTCTGCAAACGACCTCTTTTAACGCGAATGAAAGAGGCGAAATCTTACCTTCCCGCCGTTCACCTCTTGTTCCTTTACCTCTACAACCAAAAAGAAGTCAATTAGCCTCTTATTTTCCCCTCCATCAGCTCAGGGAAGTGAGGCGTCAGTGGTAACCCTGCTGAAAGGGCAGTCGTTCCTCTTCATTCTGTATTATGGACTCAATCTGACAAACAACTCGCGCGAATTAAGCACAAAGGCGAAGTTGGACAAAAAACCCCGAAACCGTTGATTATTCTCGCCACGAAGCCATGACAGTGTTTTGAAAGTGCAAAGCAGCGCGTGTAAAAGACTGTCAGGCGTAGCGCTCAGCGGAGCATCGACTGAGCAGTGTTCGCGCCGCGCGCTGCATCACAGCCTGGAGGTGAAGCCTAATTGGATTGAGCTGTACATCACCAAGGATAGCAGCAACATCAGATCCCTCCGTCCCATACAGGAGTCAGTGTCACTGATCTCTAGCTCTCTGTCATAGCAAGTTCAAATGAGGTGGGGACATGACACAATGGAACACGATGATCCACATTCGGAAAAGGCTTAATATACAGCATATCAAGGAACCTGATATCATTTGCGTGGTATTTAAGATGATATTTAAGATTCTCCTATAGAACCTAATCACGGATCACTTCATTGAAAAGATTAGAAGATTTAGATCGCTATGGGATCTATCTATCTATCTATCTATCTATCTATGACATTATTATTTTAATATTCAGATCTTCAAAAGCAGGCACTTTCACACTGACCTAAAACTTTCGAAAACTAATGACATGGCAAAATCGAAATCCTCTCTGCAGATCTTTAATGAGTTAAACACAAGACCTCTATTATGGCACTTAGTTGTAATAATAAGACAGCATGGGGGAAAGTGCTGTATTTCAATTGGCCACTGGATGGGGATATGATCCTTCTTTCTCTCTGCACTTTTTCTCACCCCTTTCACCCTCCCTCCACTACACTGTACTCAACACTTCCTGTCAGCATTCTTCTGGGAAACTTTAACTGAGTGGGACAATTGTTCCTTTGGGATTCATGCCCGTGCCCCTTGTCAACAGAGAAACTGTCTCTTTCTCTCCCCCACCCCCTTTAAAGTCTTTAAAGTCTCATGTTAAAATAAAATCCAAAGTGTGAAATATCTTTCAATTTCTTTAAGCTAATGCCTTTGTAAATATAGAAAAATACAGGGTTTTTGGAAGTAAAAATGGTTAATTATCATACAATGTACAGTTCTGTATATTACTTAAGAAAATGCATGCAGTTTTACAGTAAATTATTGTTAAAATTGTCTTTATAAGTCAAAATAATGTAAAAGCCACCTTATAATTACATTATTTATAAGTATAAAAAAACAGAAACAGAAAAAAAGGGCGTTTCCAGAAGTCCCTGCATAGCACATCATGAATGATTATATTTTATTTAAATGTATGTGTTTTTTGTTACATTTTATGGTTAGATTTAAAATAATATATTTTTACAGTCTTTGTTTTGACCCTTCTTCTGTCTAAAACAAACAAAAAACAGGCCACATTTAAAGTGTAATATTGAGGTCATTTTTCAACTTGGGGTTTATTTTTGAAGTTTAACTGGGTAACTCTTTTTTAATAAAATATATTAAATAAAAAATGTATATACAAAATAAACATATTATTCTTTTTGCCTCAAACTACAAAGCTATTAGAGACCAGAAACAGTTTAACGCTTTCTACATTGTGCCACGAAATGCCATTGGAACAAGCCCTTCAGGCAGATGGTCACCGTCTGTCTGGTCTGAGAGGTTGCAGTCCCGCCATCTCTCAAACTGTACATCAGTGATGCACCAATGGAATAAAAAAAGATTCAACAGGCATATGACAAACTAGATTCCGACAAACTAGAGAGACAAACATACTGTACTTGTAACAGTAAAGCCCCATGAGGTGGTGAGGTTTCACCCAAAGCTCTCACATCACTGAGACTCTGAAAGAAAATCAGAGATTATGGAGAGTAACTGAATACCACCCAGTCTCTGAAGAGAGAGAAAGGGCCTGTAATTAGTTAAAACAAAACGAGTCGGCATGAAAAACATGATGTAAATATAAATATAAACTAAATATGTAGTATATTACATTATATATAGTGATATGGTACTGTATATATATATATATATATATATATATATATATATACAGGGGCATCTCAATAAATTAGAATGTCGTGGAAAAGTTCATTTATTTCAGTAATTTATTGGTCTTATGAAGTAAGATAGTGTTTGTTGAGATAGTGAATTGGTGGGTTTTTGTTAAATGTGAGCCAAAATCATCACAATTAAAAGAACCAAAGACTTAAACTACTTCAGTCTGTGTGCATTGAATTTATTTAATACACGAGTTTCACATTTTGAGTTGAATTACTGAAATAAATGAACTTTTCCACGACATTCTAATTTATTGAGATGCACCTGTATATATACATAAAATTCCATTAAATTAATGTAATTAATTTAAAATTAAAATTATGCTTAATTAATTTAAAATCACAAAATTATTGTGATTTGGGATTTCTGATGCTTGCCTGTAAAATCCTGATGTGCCAGAAGTGCATGCAGTTCCTGTCTGTATCATGCATCCTGCTATTAGGTGCTGGATTGTCTCGGGAGGACCGTTCCTATTGATTTAGAGCTGAGTGCTTGTTCTTGTCCTGCCATGATTAGAGCCTCTGTGCTATCCACCGGTCCTGCTATTTTAAACCAATTTCCTAAAGTCAGCCATACCAGCTATAGTATCTGGCAGCAGTTTCTCCCATTGAGAGGTCTGTCTTCCGATGGCACTTCCTCAGCCATTCTCAAATCTGCTGGTGTGTGAGAGTCCCTTAAACTTCAAACCTGGAGGCCATGTGTCAAGATGGTGGTCTTGATACTTAATACTTTCCACAGGCTTGGACCCTGTAAACATCTAACACAAATATGCATTTTATTCTTAGTAATTGAATATTTTTTAATGAAAATATGTTTTGATGTATGTGCAAAATGTTCTTAAATTAGGAACATAATGAACAGAAAATAATGGCAGGGAATCAAAAGCCCCTATATATATATACAGTTGTGCATGATTTTTTTTTTACACAATAAATAGTTAAATGTGCTACTGTAAATTAAAGTTCAGAATCCTGTTAATTGTATTATAGTGATGCTGACAGACATATGTAAGTTCACTCTATACAAGTTCACTCTTTTTAGTTTTTATGGATCATATATAACAGCGGTGGCGAACTCCAGTCCTGGAGAGCCGCAGCCCTGCAGACTTCAGCTCCAACCCTAATTAAAACTCACCTGCCTGTAGCTTCCTAGTAACCCTTCAGACCTTGATTAGCTTGTTCAGGTGTGTTTGATTAGGGTTGAAGCAAAACTCTGCAGGGCTGCGGCTCTCCAGGACCGACGTTCGCCACCCCTGATATATACACTGAAAAAAACATTTGGTATAGAAAAAGTTTTTTCACTCAGATATATGGCTAATAAATTTCACAAATAATTACAAAGAAACAGCAATTAACGTTCAACCGAATGTGAAAATTTTAAATAGAAAGACTGAAATTGTATTTTATTGTTAAATGTACTCCAATAGTCTTGGTATTATTTACAAAGATACTTTATAGAGTGTATGTATTTCACCATCAGATCATTAGATTAAAAAAAAAACAATAAAACTAGCCTATTCTGTTTCTTATCACCCATCTGCAAATGTTTACAATTAAGATAAGATCAGATCAGATCATAAAACCAAGAATTATCATGTAACTTGATATTGAAACATTATACCTTTTCATTTAAAATGGAAAGGAACCGAACTGTATTGGACTATACACAGTCAAGAGAGCTTGAGTGTCTCTAAATAAAGCAAACATCTACATGTTACTAAACATCACATGCTAATAATTAGATTAGACACGAGCTGTTTGCTTTATCAACAAAAATAATCCTCATATGATTTGTTGGTTCTGCTCCAAATTACATGATTGTAATGACTGTAAGTCTATTATGGATTTAACCACATGCTACTTAGTTTTACTTAGGTTTACAAAATGTTTGTATAAAACAAGTTTTTGTCATATTTTGTATGGAGATACAACAATATCTTCAGTCGTACTGCTCACAAATAATGATCTTCATGAGCAGTAATGACCCATGAACATAACCAGGGGTTTATGCCTCTGTAGTACTCACAGGAAATGATCGTAGACCTGAAATGGACCACTCTGATGGTAATATGTGACCTTTTAACTCCTAAATCCTTGATTGACATTTACAAATCTCACAAGTAATGCTTTATTTATTGAATTACCTGAAAAAAAAGATGGATGATGTAAATAAAATACAATTAACATGAATTAAACAGAATCACAATTATATCATTTCATACATAAAACCTCATAATGTAATACAGCTTGTGGAACTTGATTCTCAGCATCCATAAACTTACGTATTTGCTCTTTTCTAAGTGCACCCGTAAGTCTCATTAGGAACGAGCTGGCTGCATCAGAAAAATAGTAAAGGCTCTATTGCTCTCTCTCTCTTAGTGAAGCAGTGTAATCTGATAACCAGGACACATCTAACCATACTATAAAAACCTCACCGATAGCAAAAAAGCCACACACAAGCCAATATATATGGGATTCCAAATGGGTAAGAATGGGCCTCATAAACAGCCGCTTCAAGTTCTTCTTCTTTTGTTTGTGTGTTGTTTATCTGATGCTCTGATCTGTTGAAACTTGTGTTTTTGAAAGGTTAATATTATGGGACATAACAATAAATGACACTTTTCCCCTTGTTTTTCATAGCTTACTTGCAGGATGACTAAAGAAAGTGTAGAAATGACACACATCTCCAAAACCGAGTCAAAATCTAGACAACAGTCTTACGACAGTGCAATGGATGGAGACGAGAGCGACCAGATATCTGCAAATGTATTTGAGGTACTCTGCTTTTCTACATTCACTCATTTATTCAGAAATCATACATATATACTACCACTCAAAAGTTTGGGATCAGAAAGATTTTGAAATATATTTTTTTTATTTATTCCTTTGATGGCAAAGCTGATTTTTTTTTTGTTTAGCAGCCATTACTGCAGTCTCCAGTGTCACATGATCCTTCAGAAATCATTCTAATATGCTTTGTTGCTCAAGAAACATTTCTTATTATCAATGTTGAAAACAGGTGTGCTGCTTAATATTTTTGTGGAAACAGGATTCTTGTTCAATTTAATGTGTCCTTTCTAAATAAAAGGATTAATTTCATTCATTCATTCATTCAAAAAAAAAAAAAACTTACTAACCCCAAACTTTTGAATGGTATAGTATCTAAAATGCAATACAAAATATTGTATAACTTTTCAG